TCTATATGTGAAGCATTGAATTAAGCTCTGAGGACAGGTGGTTTAAAAGAGAAGGATAACATCATAATATCAAGTACTAAATAAAATGGTGCTTTGTGTTAAGAATAATCTCAGATTAATTTCAAAGTAAATATTCACAAATGGCAGGTGAACCGTTTTGCCTCGTCTCAAGAATCAGTGGGCTGTGAAAACCTGCATTTGTCTAGAGGAAGTCTGATATTATTCCTGGACCAGATCATTCGACCTTCATGCATGTCCAGACTGTTCCGACCTGCTCATGACTCTGGATCAAGGGCTAAGCTTTGGCTAAGTCCTCTGAGCCAAGTCTTTATCAGTCAGCACTGTGATACACTTTGTGCTAAGACATGTCACATTAAACACAGCTGTAATTAACGATAAACAAAAATATTCAAGGCATTTGTCCAGCTGCATGGATGATCTTCACTCGGTGATATGATATGATCTCTGGATTTGTTCAGAAGCTACTTGAAATACTATGTAAACAAAGGGCTTCACTGGATTTTCAGGTTCTCTGCATATTGCAAAGCCTCAAAATTTACATGTAGTACATATAACAGATGCTCTCATTTAAAAATGTAGTGTCCTACAAAATATAAAGTTATAATTTTATTATAATAGCAGTTTTTAAGATGCTAGAATGGACAGTGTGCATAATGCATATAGCAGACCCAGAAGTCAGTGTGAGTGTGTTATCTGGCCCTGGCAGGCTCATTAAACTTGACGTAAATCATTGGGAATGTAGATGAGAGGTGCTGACAGCTCATATTCGTTAATCTATAAAGGCCAAGGGGCAGCTGATCTTTACGTGCTTTATCAACTGCACTCGTCCAGTGGGAGCGTGGGGTCATTGGGAGGGATGGAGTTTGAGCCCGACCGAGTCACCTTGCTAGAACTTTAGAAAACACAATAATAGCAAAATCAATAGCCTCCAAGTCGTGCTGTTCGATAATATCATGAGTTGATAGTTTCCGTTATTAAAAGGTGAAGTTTCCCTCAGACCTCACCCCAGATATTAATCTGTGACTTGATTGTTTTGCTGAACTCATGAAGTTTATTTTTTGCCAGTGCTACTTCGGTTGTGTAAATTTGATCGCTTTAAAGAAATGATCGCCTTTCAAAAACCGTAACCTTTGAAAACTGCCACCAAGGCATTTTTCCAGTTCTGTCAGAAATCACTGCGAGACTTTTGAGTCATCCTAACTCCCAACAGACCATCGCTTTGGGCACTTACCTTGCCTTCACGTCTACTTTGGATGTTCCCAAGACGAAATGTCCCATGTAGACCATTAGCGTCATCTTATTCACATGCGGTTGACTGGTTAAAAGGCTGAGTCAACTGAGGATCCCAGAAAAATCACAGCACTGTCCAAATAAACTGCAAGAATAAGAGCCCATGGTGGGATTTTGTTGACGTGTCAATCAATTTCTGTATTGGCACACCACAGCTCCAAAAATGCAAAAATGTTTATTTCATATTCTCACCACAGGTGACATTTTGAGCCATATGGCTCTTCAATAGACGGTCATCATATCTGATAAAGAGCCATACGGCTCAAAACGTCACCTGGTGAGAACATGAAATAAACATTTTTGCTTTTTTAGAGCTGTGGTGTACCAACGCTTCCCTTTTATTTTTTACAATAGTTGAGCACCGTTATTGAGGTTTTTGTTGCCAGTCAGATTTTTTATTTTTTTGCATTTGGCTTGGTCTCATTACATACAAACTAACGGAAAACAGAGATAGAAACACTTCAGCCAGTAATGGCCTAATATTTCATGTTATCTGTGATTTTGAATCAATGAATTAAATTAAACTTTACAATAACTTTGATTTTAATCAAAATATCACAATATCAATGCAACAAGGACAGTCTTAGGGGAATCATTTTACAAAGTTAAAGTCTAAGATGTTATAAGTGCATGTAGACAATGTCAATGTTGGGAAAGTTACTTTGGAAATGCAATACAGATTACAAGTTACCCTATTTAAAAACAAGTAGTGTAACCATTTCAATTACTTATTAATGTAACTGATTACATTTAATTACTTTTTGATTACTTTTCAAAATTTCGTTAGAAAAGTAATTTAATTACAAAATAAATGTAACTAATCTGTTACAGTTACTGATAAATTTTTTTTAAATTTAATTATAGATACAGAGAATTGAACAATTGGCTTTTTTGATAAATGTTTTATTTCCTATTTGGGTTTATGTATATGCTTTATTTTTTAAGATAAACTGTCCCCCCCAGGCATTATAGATGCCAGTGTTTCCTTTCATAGCTATGCAAAGATTTGATTTCAAAATTTCTAATGAATGTTTTCAAACATAATTTAAAAAGCACAGCCACCACAAAATCAGACTTTAACAACTATTTTTGTTTTGACAACATTCAGAGGTTAAATACAGATTTGAAATTACAAGAAATAGTTTAATAACTATGATACTGTTTTTGAAATCAAATCTTTGCATAGCTATGAAAGGAAACACTGGCATCTATAATGGCCTGGGGAAAAAAACAGTTGATCTTAAAAAAATAAAGCATATACATTAAACCCAAATAGGAAATAAAACATTTATCAAAAAGGCCAACAGTCCAATTCTCTGTAACTATAATTATAAATGTACATCTCAGTAAATGTAACAGATTGGTTACATTTATTTTGTAATTACATTACGTAATGCCATTACATGTAACTGGTTACTCCCAAACACTGAACAATGTATATTCAAGGTTCATATTTTATTACCGTCCACAGTCATAAAACTTACCTTGTCATTCAAAATCAGAAACTGGTGTTGTACAATAAACCTTGACTTCATGCAATTTCCCAATGGGATACTCATATTTCTGATTTGTCTGAATTACCAAGGTTTGTCCTTGGTTTGTTAATTGGAGGTAAGCATCCAAACATTTAAAAAGGATGGAGACATCCTTTAACATTTGACAGTGATAAAATGGGATCGGAATGGTGCAGATAACCAGTTTAGTTACCTTGAAACATCCATATTCTTTATGGAGTGATACACGCCATGATCATCCATCAAGCCATCCAAATAGTTTCCTGCTGATTGCAATCAAATAACTCAATTATCTAATTAGTCATTGCATCATCCTTTTACCTAATGGGCGCACATTAGATTTCTCTTTCTCTCTGTGTACAACCCACAGGCAACATTCAGTCCTAATAAAAAAATAACTTCATAGTTTTCCATGCCTTGCTCCTTCCATTATTTCATATCCAAACAAAGTTTCCTTCATTTCAAATTAAATGTTGACTTTGTTTTGATGCCCAGCCGAGGCAGATGTGGACTGTATAAAGACAGTGTGTGAAGCTGCTGTGACCCTTCAGCGACTTCCTTTCTCTGACAGGTTATGGGTTTTGGAATTCGCTGCCAATCCTATCACATTTCCCTCTGAGCGCTTCAAATATCTGGCACAGGAGACTGACACGATTGACTGAACTGTATTTCTCCACATCCCTCCTTTGGTTGTGCTGACTAGTGTGCTGAAAATGCTGCCTATAAAATGCATGGAAAGCAATAGGAATATCAATATTGGAGACTAGCTAGCCTAGTCTCACCATAAGTAGACAGTTCAATAGAATTTAACTACATTTTGCAGTAGCATGACAGTAGGAGTTCTGTTTTCAAAAGAGTGGTTATTGTTAACTAAAACTAAAACTACTAAAAATCCGTAATTAAAATAAAGCTGGGATTAAATAAATGATAAATAATAGATTAAAGAATAATTAATGCTATAAAGAAAAAAAAAAGTAATAATAAATTATATAAAATATTTAGATACAAATATTTATTCATATGAAAATATAAATATTTATATCTGTTTCTAATTACAAAAAAACAAATAACTAAAAATAACAAAAGCACATAAATTTGATGTACTTAAATTACATTCAAATTTAAATGAAAACTGAAAAAAAAATTAAATAAAAACTGTAAAAGTATATATAAACGTATATAAATAATACTAAAATAACACTGTTTAAAATGTGTTTCTTCCAGTAACAAGCCATTAAAGGGTTAGTTCACACAAAAATTAAAATTAGCCCATAAATTACTCACCCTCAAGTCATCCTAGGTGTACTGTATATGGCTTTCTTCTTTCAGACGAATCCAGTCAGTTATATTAAAAATTGTCTTTGATCTTTCAAGCTGTTTAATGCCACTCTAATATGGATATTTTTCTTACAAAAACGCATCTATTCGCTACAGAAGGTCTTTGTTCACCACCCGGAGCCATGTGAGACACTTTTTTTATGGATGTGCGCATTTTATTTAACTGCTTTTGAAAGGATGCATGCAACACCCGCTGAGTTGCATTAAACAGCTTGAAAGATCAAAGACCATTTTTAATATAACTCTGACTGGATTCGTCTGAAAGAAGAAAGTCATATACACCTAGGATGACTTGAGGGTGAGTAATTTATGGGCTAATTTTCATTTTTGGGTGAACCAACCCTTTAACTCCAAACAATTAACGGTATAGCACAACAGATGTGTTGTTATATATATTATGTGCCATCCTAATTGAGATAACTGTGAAAAATATGGTCTGATTAAATTAAGTGATTACTAAGACACTCACCAGAGCCTGTGGTATAAACTTTAATCGTTTTTAATAAAGATTTTACAAATGTTTTCATGGATATCAGACAGTGTTAACACAGAAAGTATATGGTCACAGGCTGTGAAACAGCTATCTTTTAATTGAATTGTATTTTAACTGAAATCATGATTAGCTGCTTGATTAGCATAGCTAGCTAGTTTCAAAGTACCTTGTGTAGTAGGACTTCTAAACAACAGTTAATAAATAATGCAAATAAAATGATAAAACAAACAATGCCAAAAACTTTCTGCATCACACTTTTTCCTCAAACTACCGAGACCGAGATGATAGTTTATATAGTGATACTGGACAGTTTTGGTTTGACTGTATTTTTGGCATCCTCACAGATGAGCCATTCAGTCTGTTTCCCCAGAATTGAGCTCCGTTGAGAGAGAGCTGCTGACTCTGCAGTCAGGAAGCACAGTTGACATGTGTCAGACTGTTCTGGCAGCCCAAGGCCTCGACTACTCCCAGCTAAGAGAGGAGACGCTGTCTGCCAGATAGCAGTAATGATCTGAAGCCTCTTCACCTATAGCTCTCATATCTCTCCAGTATCATGACAAGGATCTTTCCAGCTCCAGACAGACAACCTTCAGAGAAAGGTCTGTGCTGAACCTTGCTTGACGGGATGCAGACCCCCGTGTGCTGCCAGCTATCATAAACAAGGTCTGAGCTCTGATTAATGTGTGTTCATAAAACGAAAATGACTCAGCTGCTGATGTGACTGAGGGCAATCAAAGTTTACATGCATTAGCATCTGTAAAATAAAATAAAATACAATGGCATGTAACATGAGTCATCATCACTCTGGGCAAAGTAGCACAAAGTTTCCGTTAGAAGGCATAACTTAGAGTAGTTCACCTAAAAACATAAATTTTGTCATTTGCTCGCTCTAATGTCATTCCAAGCCTATAGAACTTTTTTTTCTTTTGTGGTAAACAAAAAGAGAATTTATGAAGAATATCCAGGCTGCTCTTTTCCAAGTCAATGGGGACATGGGAACAGCTTGTGAGTAAACTTTTATAACTTTCTAAAATTGTAATTTGGAATGAGCTATAATTCTGCTGGGAAAGTTTCTGCTGGCGAGTTTTGATCTTGACAGTGATGTTTTTAGAGGCACGCATTTCCTTTCATCTACACTTCATCAGGTTCTGGAGTTAGATGTTGTCGAACCATAAATCCACTGAAAAGAGACTGATTAAGAAAAACAGAGAAAGAGAGTGTGTAAAGGGGGTGTAGAAAGTGAGTAAAAGGAAAAGGTGGATGTTGGTGTTGGCCGAGGAGCTGCAGATGTTGGCAGGAGTGGAGGAAGGTGGTGGAGGAGCGGAGAAGCGAGCCAAGCTTTGCATATATCTCCAATAAAAAGGCACATGTCCACATGTTTGGAGAAGACAGGAGTCTGTGACCCCTATGGGGTCAGAGCTGGTACAGCAGTAGTAAGATAGTAAGGTGGTTATTGTCTCAAACTAATTTTTGTGAAGAAATGAAAATATGCATTAAACAAACGTTTACTCGTATATTTTATATGTAAAGTATATTAATTTAAGCTAAAGTTAAAAGCTAAAATGTAATGTACATATAGTACTCTTTGGGGTCTGTTAAAATTTGTAATGTATATATTTTTTTTAAGTCTCTTTTTGCTCACCAAGGCTTCATTTATTGGATCAAAAATAAAGTAAAAACAGTAATATTGTGAAATATTACAACTTAAAATAACTGTATTTTAAAAATGTACTTTATTATCATTGTTAAAAACAGTTAATATTATTGTGGAAACCATGATGCATTTTTTTCAAGATTCTTTGATGAATAGAAAGTCCAAACGAACAGCATTTATTTCAAATGGAAATCTTCTGTAACAGTAAATGTTTTTTTACAGTTTCTTTTGATCAATTTATTGCTTCACTGTTGAATAAAAGTATTCTTTTTTTTTTTTTTTTTTTTACTCATCTCTTGATAGTCTGTACATCAAAAATGGCTATTTTAATGACTTTGCAATGGCTTAAACCAAGCATGTTTTCAAAATGTAACAGGAGGTCTCTGCTCCATGAATTAGTATGAGAACTAGACGATAAGAGATGTTTAGAATGATTTTTTAAGAGCCATTTTGTGAAAGCACTATACGTTTGTTCTCAAGACTGTACCTGTCACCTGACGCTTCGGTGGAAAGTGGAGCACTATCCTCTGTGACAGTGTTTACATAAGGGTGGTGCTGGGTGTGTGAAAGAGGGTTAAATTGCAGGATATGTGGTTAGGCCACTAAAAAATCTGCAAAGTAATGTTTATAAATATAGCAGTGACCTGCAGGTCTCTTTCAATGGCCTCCTTTTAACCCTGCGTCTATTACAGGTCTGTGATGTTGGCTTGCGGTGCAGTGGGCAGTTTCTGAATAAGGGCTTGTGTTCTTCTGGACCGGGGGGAAGGACTGCTACACTTTAACGGCTATGTTTGTCCACCCTGTGCTCAGGTTAAAGAAACTCTGGCGTATTTGTTCAAGCTGTGGCCTTGTTTTTTTGATGCTACGACCCGGACCGCATGTTTGAAATAAGCTCCAGTTTCCCCGACGGTGGCTGAAGTGGACAGGAAAGCCACAACATTATGAGAACTCTGCAGCAGATGTGCAGCTCCTATTTCAATGGTTTAATGAATGTTTATTTAATGTTAAGACCTGGCTGTCTATGCTTTCACTGGCTGGACTGCAGCAGTGTGAAAAGACGTGCGAACAGTGTGACTGGAGATTAGTTCAGATATTTACACACTGTTGAGTGCTGCAAACTGACACATGAAACAGAATATGTGAACTTTTACAGTGCTGAAAACAAAGGCGAAAAATTCTTATATGCTGATTTGGTGCTCAAAAACATTTCTTATTATCAGTGATGAAAACGCATGAAACATTTTGGTAATAACATGGATACTGACACTAGAAAGAGAATACATGAACTGTACATGGTAGCAAATTTTGAGGTACTTGACAAAAAACAAGGACCTGGCAAAAAGAGAAAATAAAAGGGTATACAGAGAGAGAGAGAGAGTATACAGTATAAATATGTGTGTTTGTGTGTGTGTGTGTGTGTGTGTGTGTGTGTAAAATAATTGAAATATCATATTTGCGGCGTATGTTTTTAAAAGTCAGAAGGAAGAGAAGACTTGAGGGACTCAATGTCTCAGAATGTTTAAAGACTGATGTCAAAAATAACATAAATCAACATTTAGCTCAGTCGTATTATGTTATTATGTATAGCATGACATTTCACGGTATTGCTAAATGTCACATAATGACATCACAAATTCACCCTTCACTATAAAGGAAAAACTGACTCTAAAACTAACACCGCACAACATAACATGCATTTT